CAGAGAGAAAGGAATGTAGAGTATAATTCCCTTGTTGCTTTTTCTATGTTATCTCTTCTTGTGTCTGTCCGTTTCCCTGTAGTAAATCCCACAGAGAGCTGTTCTAATATTTTTTTAAAACATCAAATATTCTTCCATGTGTATTGACATAGACACTGTCATGCTGAGGCTTTTTGAAGACATACCTTTTCTAGAAGGTAAGTGCAAGTAGGAAAGTTTACTAGTTGAAGTTATTACTTGCTATATCGATTCCAGTAGTTTTGTCACGTGTTTATCACCATTTGTACTTAATTGGAAGAGAAAGAAATATTTTGCAACCTTAGTCTCAGAGTATGAGCTACAGACAAAAAGAAGGCAATATTGTGAGTGGAAAATGGATGCTAATCTTAAAATTTCTATGTCAAACCATTTAAGGAAGGGCATCTGAGAATGTTATACTCCAGTTAGCATCAGCAGATACCTTACAATATTGTCTTTGAATAAAAAAGAATGCAAGTAACCCAAAGACTTGCTCAAGGTCACAGAGGCTAAATTAGTGGTAGAGCTGAGATTAGTCCAATCAGCAATCAAATACCTTAGGGTAAAATGATAGAATAATTAATTACATCATATCAGTCCATTTCCAGAAGTGATTGAGGATCTATTAAATGTATGTGAGTTTTTGTAACATTTCCTTAAATAAGCGCCTGCCTGTTGAATACATTTAAATGGACATTCTGTGAATTAAAGTTCTTTTCATAAAAATGGTGGCTAGTTACTGCCCATTAGAAAGTCTGAGAGAGCAGTAAATTTGCTATAGCTATGGTGTTGGCCACTTGTTTCTAATTCTTTTAAAACATAAAACCCATAAAATAATAATTTCAGTAATTTCTACCAGTTGTACACCCATATAAATACTGGCTCCTTGTGTGTTGATAATTTTAGGTTAATCTATTGACAGCATATATATCAAAAGGAAGTGCATCCCCATTACTTCTACATCATTGCTTTACTGCTCTTTCATGTGCTGTTCAGCGTTCTGCTGCTTATCTCTGTTGCTTTCTTAAGTTTTTGACAAGGTGGGCTGTAGAGTGCTTACTGGTGTCTTGGTCAAGGAAGTACCACTATTGCATGTCAGACATCTCTTAATTCATTATCTGCCTATATTTTGCCAGAGCTATCTTACAATGACTGCCAAAAAGTTCAGATAACCCGTCTCTGTGCTTGAGAGAAAGGCAGTGATGTGTATATCATGCAGTTCGATGATCATGTGGAATGCTTTGTATGCTCTGGTGAAATGCTGGCAGGTGAAAGAGTAGGAGAACAAATCCCATGGCTACTTCTGCAGAGCAGTGTTACCAATAGAATATTGCTCCTTGGTTTGACAGTCTGTAATCAGCAACAAGTCAGGAATATAAAAGCAAATGAGGAAAAAAATTCAGTCATCGGGTATAATTGTACTTTCTGAGGTATTTGTACAGTGGTCATTCTGGGATTACTGTGATGAGACTGCAATACTCCCTCTTGATATGTTAAAAGACAGAAACAGACCCAAATTCTTGAAAAATTATTTATTTTCTGGAAATGATAAGCCTAACTAGGTACCTGCTTAATTTTATCTTAAAGTAATATAAATTTTTCATATAGGTCATTTTGTTCTGCAGTGAGTCAGAACAAAGATAATCTTCTGTGTAGATTCTCTTTTTAACAGAAAGTATTCTGTAAAATATATTTACACTGTCATTAATATGAGCATTAAAAGTTAGCTGTGCTGATGGAATGATTAGAAATAGTCTCATAAAAGTTTAAGGGTAGGGAAACATTCAATGCATTGACACAGGTATGACTCAAATTTTATATCTCTCCTCCTGCATCTGCTGCTATAACAAATACACTTCCCATGCAATCAACTTATTTTAAAAAACTTTTAATTTGAGCATTGGCTGTTGTAGCACTGGTGCTGGAGCTCCTAGGTCAGGCATACAGTGAAAGATTATGGGAACTTTTATTTCTACTCATGGACTTCAAGAACTTTTAAAAAACTTTCTCCATTAAGACTAAGCAGTGAGACCTTAATATGAAAGCACTCCATCTCATTGCTTGTTCTGGTGATGTCACTTGCACAGTGATAGCTTTTACCCAGTTAGGATTACATATGTTTTCAGTTGTAGTGCCCCTACTGAGAGAGGATGTAAGTGCACGCAGAATCTTAAGAAGTATCATTGGTACTGAAGACAGATGAACACCTGATATTGGAATGAGGAAGATAACTTCTGATTAAGATGACAGGAAGCAAAGAACAGCATGAACATCCACAGAGAAGCCAACTCAGATGTAGAGAACTGATGTAAGCTTAAAGCAAAAATGCTAATGCTAAAACAGAATTATCTTTGTTTCAAAATGGACTGAATGCTTTAGGTTGTCAAACAATTTATAGTAAATAAATTAACGCATTAACAGTAAGATTCTTCTGAATTAAAATGTGTAATCCAATAAAATGTAAGGTAGCATGAAATAAGACAGGCTATGATGTCTACCTCAAAGAATGATTATTTCTGAAAGGCATATAAAGCAGCTGGTAGACAGGATAATTATCTTTCTCGCAATAAGGAAACAGAGATGGTATAGGACAGTTTCTAACGCTAGCAGAAGTACAAACATGAATTGTGAAGATAAGGATCTGTATTCAATTTTCTTCAGATCAGCACACCTACGTAAGCTTGTGTGCACATTCTCTAAGACTGGTCTCAATGCAAAAAGGCATGTTACTTTCCCTTATTCTCCAGTTTGGGATGTCACAGCAAGCCACAGCCTCCTATATGTCAAAAGGTGGGACAATGAGAAGTTGTTGATCACTCTGAGAAGACTGGAGAAGGAAAATAGTTCTGTTTAACTTTATGGCCCAAGAAGGAATCGTGCCCCCTGTACAGGCAGGCCAGAGCTGGAGCAGAGAAAATCAGTCACTAAAAATCTAGTGGTGCTTGGCTAAAAGTAGCTCTTAAAGGGGTTAACCTATCCATAACATCTTAAGAAAGGTGCATCTCTCACCTGCACAAACAAACCCCAGCATATTAAATTGAGGGATAGTGCATATTTAGGTGAAGGGTGATTACCTTTCACAGTCCTAGCAAATTAATGAGGCTGGTTCTAGATCTAGACATTTCGTGGCAAAGAAACCTGAATGGAAAATATGTAAGTTTCCACTTACACCTGTGAGAATACACATCCAATTTAATCTAAAAAGGGGTTAGGTCTTTTGTGTACATGGAGTTGCTGCTACAGTTTGCAAGGACTGTATATGAATTAAGGTCACGGAGACTCTTTTTTCTAGGGCAATACTAGTTCCAGACAGGAGACTATCTGGAAAAACACAGGGAGGAAAAGAAAAACTCAAAATAAAGTCCTTCAGGAATCTCCTAAGTATTTTTAGAAAATGTTTCTGAACTAGGAGTTTTGGTAGCATAAAAGACAGAAAATTCCAAGACAGGAGATATCTCTGAGATGTCATAAGAAGCTAGGCCTGCTAAAGTAACCGTCAACAGAAAGGTCTCTGTAGATAGTGCTGCTTTTTTTTCTCTAAATGGTTTGTTCTGAGTGGTTATTACTGTTTTTATTTTCCAAGAAGGAAAATCAATTCTATATTCTTCTAGTGATAGGCTCCCAAAGGAAAAAAGGGAAACTACTTAATTTCAGTCATGAGTGTTGAGTGAATTGCACCCTGTGTAAGGATGAGAGAAGTGTGTGTATTCTTAAATGGGAAAAGCAGAAAGTCTAAAACCTTTTGAGATATTGAGAAAAAACAAAAAAGGTGAGACTAGACTGTACTTGAGATAAAAATAGCAAATAAAAGAAAACAACAGCTAAAGACCATGCCTTCATGACAAAAGGGTGTTTCTACTTGACTAGTACAGCCATAGGGGCTAACTGAAGAGTTTCCTTGGTGTTTTACAAAATACAAAAGTTCTGCTTGTAATTTGAGCAATGAAAGTGAGGAGCACTGAACAATCATGACGATTAGAGATTCTTAGAACATTGAGAAAGTTTTGACGAGAAAATACAGAGACTGGCTTGGGAGCTTTAAGAAGTAAACCTTGCTTGTGTTATGAAGCAGCCATGTTAAAAGATCTGTTGGAGTAAGTGTATTTTACCTCAAGGATCCTGTGTTTTGTCTTCTGAAGGGAGTTGAGAAACATCTTGTCAAAGGAATTTTTCAGAGCAAAATACAATGCATGTAGAAATCTTGCATTTCTGAAACAATGTTCTAAACCTTTTTTTTCCTAAGCCCTTTTTTTCCCCTAAAGCTTTATGTGTTGTGTGAATCTCTACAACCTTTTTGATGGACCTTCTGTTGCATCAGGACAACGTTTGATATAGCACCTCCTTTGCTGTGAGTTCCTTGAACTTACCTTGTTACTCCATCTCAGCTATGTTTTGGGCACAATATGCAGTATGGGCAATACCTTGTTTTAGATGCTCCCCAGAGCTTTGCAAATGAAAGGAATCCAACAATTGCTTGCAAAATAATTTTACTATGCATGGTGTATCATTTTTATTTGTAAGAGTTACTGTTGTCTACAAGGAACTTCACAAGCATAGTTCGATTTTTACAGAAATCATTCTGTGTGATGGTGAAAAAGGAAAAATCCTTTGGCTTTAAAGCCATTATTTGAGGGTATGTCATCCTAAGCTTCCTTCAAGGGATTTTTTTGTTCAGCCACTCCAAAATTTATTATTAGTTATAGGAGTTACTGAAGGTTAAACTTGGCATGAGCATTTGAAGGATCTAAAAGCATAGCATCCTGTAGATGAAATAGAGCAATAAAAATTTGCATGATTACTGAATCAATATTGTACCATTTCCTGTATACTGAATTCCTTCATTTATGGTGAAAAATACCTGTCTGTTTACTTCTTATCTTCTGTAAATATCACGCCTGTTTTTTTACCCCTCCTCGTCGTATCTTTTTACCTTCTCCCTTTGTATCTCCTCCCTTGTGATAGAACCAATTGCATCAGTGGATATTATATAAAGAAAAGTTTTCAGTGGAGTTCCCAGTTCACCCACCTTAGCCACCATGGGGCTAAGAATTGCCAGCCTTTTTATACTCTGGCTGGCTCTTTCCAATGCAAATGAAATAAGAAAAGGTAAGCTCTAGAAAAGAAATAGTAGAAGATTGTCTCCTGGAATAGGGGGAGAGAATTAAAACACCACTGCAGAGGTAGGAGGTGGCAGTGCATTTAAATAATGGACTGGAGTTTTAAGCTGCCTACATTTCTTAAACTTTCAAATACTGAGGCTATGTGGTGCAGCCGACATAGGTAGATACTGCTTGCTTTGGACAGATTAGTACCTAAATGTACTGCTTTACTCTCTGGTTTGATATTTTCAGTTTTACTTTTTTTTCCATGTGTTGAGACTTTTCTAGGTATGACAACTGCTTGGCAGAAGGTAACTATAGGAATTGGCGAGGTTCATTGTTACAGCAATGAAGAAAGTGGATGATTATGCCTTCTCTTACTTTGGAATGACATAAATACTTTCTTCAAAAGTGAATGTAGTAATGTTGGACAAGGCTCGTTTTATCATTCAGGATATTAATAATCCTTCTGTAAAATCTCTAATTTACTCTGTTTGTTACCAACTTGTTTTGAAATGGAACATTTGTGACGAAAAATATTTTTGGAAGAATAGGTGATGAATTTTGTGCGGTGATTGGGTTTGGGGTATTTGTCTTGGTCTGCTGTGTCTTGAATTCAGAAATGGGGGAAACACATTATCTTGTATCTGATATCTCAGATGTGAGCTCTGGGAAAATCTCTGTGTAGCCTTCTTTCTGGGGAGAGAAGCATACCAGCTTGGCTGCATGTATCTGGTATGACTAATACCGTCAAACTACTTAAAGGTTCCTTTGGTAGTTTCACTTTCTCAAGTTAAACACTGCAAGAAAAATCTTGTGAAGATGAGTGACGTGTGCCGTTGGTACCTTGGCAAGCTTCTCAAGTATGCTCAGCTTTTATATTCATCTACAACACCTTGAGATTTATCACTGTCTTAATTTGTATTATTTGTTGGTATAGATGGCTGGGAAGGGAACAATATCATTAGCTTCATCTTTGTTATTAAAAAAAAAAAAAGTATTTTTTTTCTCCTACTATGGTTATTTTTTGACCTATCTTCTGAAGAATTTCTATTCTGTGGTAATAGAAATCACTAGTTCTGTTAGGAAAAAAGGCAATTATTTAAAACCTCATGTTGTACACAAGTCCTCTCATAACAATTAACCTACTTCCCTTTCAGAGTAGGAGTGGTACTTCCTTGGTTTCCTACCTGTTTCCTTTCTAGTCGATGTTGCATCAGGGAAGAAAATAGCTCTTAGAACTATTTAATATTGCTAAAAATAATACTATGATTCAGAATAAATTCATATATTTGGCAAAGCAGCCCATTGCACTGATGCACCAGCTTGTTAGTGGTCAGAGGTTTAAGTTTCCCTACATTTTGCAGACAAGTTCCATCACCTCAGTAAGGATTAGAAGACATACCCAGGTCTCAACAGTATTTCTTAACATCTTGTTTTCCCTTTAGAAGTTCACATGTATTCTGCTTAATAGACAGGTGCTTGATCAGGCTTGAGATCTGTGGAATCACTGTGCACGTAATTGCAAGTGGTTTCTGCTGTATTATGCAACACATACCTTTTCTTGACTCTAGCTCATTCATTTTGACTATTTTCATTCCAATTTCTTTTTCTTCAGGAAGGACAAGAAGCCATGGCCACTACGTCTGCAGCACTTGGGGAAACAACCATTTCAAAACTTTTGATGGAGACATCTATCAATTCCCTGGCATTTGCGAGTATAATTTTGCTTCTGACTGCCGAGAGTCTTACAAGGAGTTCTCTATCCACATTCAGCGTGCTCTGAACAGCAATAACCACCCTGAGATCCAGTACATTCTGCTGACAATCAAGGACTTTACAGTGTACCTCAGACCGAAGCTGGCTGTGGTGGATGGACGGATGTAAGTTCCTCTAGTATAATAGTATTTCAGAGAAATATGCTAGGAAATGTGCAGGGTTGATTCTTTACATTGTGTTCTGTATACCATTAAGGCAACTGCTACAAGCATTTCCACAAGTGGGAAAAAAAAAATAAAAATCCAGCATAAAAATTGCTTAAAACTTGATGATAAAAATCCTCATTTCTACACTGGCATAAGTGATGATTTAAATGCAAGTCAGGAAGAGTAAATTGTTCTTGTGCAGGAAACAAGGCAACTCATGAGCCAGATCTTTCACTGGCATAAAATGACACAGCTTCGTCTGTTTTATGGCATCATGTTGAGTTTACCTTAGCAGATAGTCTAGCAAATCTTCAAAAGTGAAGGTACAGTTCTTCAGGGTCTGTTTCTTTTATTTTGTGGAAGAAAGAGCGGGCAGCATATCATACCAGAGCTACTTTAAGGTCTGACGGCCATTCCTCAAGAAATTATAATAAATACAATGCAGGTCAACATTTACAGTAATTAGTATGGCAACATATGCTTTTTCACAGTGAGCTGCAGTATTTTTCTCCTCCCGTAACATGGTCACACAAGGAACTAGTCTGATACCATAACTGGTGCTAAGTAGTGACTTAACCTAGCTTTTTCTGTCATTAGCCTATCTTTTCAGTGTGTGTACGTATAAACAAACAATAAAGCACCTCATAGGTTAACACATAGTTCTGAAGATGGAAGAAACTGGCTGTTAGTATAACTTAGCATAAATTTAAAAATATCTTTCTATTGTCATTGAAGGACTGGATTTTGTCCAGAACTGTATTTGCTTTGAAGTTTGGAAACCAGTGCAATGAAAGTCTGTTCAAAGACAGAAAATAACGTTCAGTCTTCCAAGAATCATAATAGAATGCATAACAAAATGGCATGAAGTTATAAAAAAAGGCATTCTTGCCCCAAATTGTGTACACAGGTCTTAAAAAAAAAAGCTCCATGAAAAACAAGTTTAGAAATCCTTTAAACATTGTTTTTCTTGAACCAAGCCTCTTTTTATTTTAGATAGTATTCACAAAACAATAGATCCCTTCTGAACAGAAGGCTTGTAGAACAGGTTTTTGCTCCATGGGGGATTTAGTTTTTTGTAGAACTTAATTTCCCATATTGCTCTTTAAATGGAAAATGATCGAGTTGTCATGTAGCATTTCACACTACTGAAGTGTAGTGAAAACTGTAAAGTAGAAAAATGTATGAATTGCCTTTTAGTACCTGATCCACCAATTGATTAAATATTGTAGTATTAGCAAAAAGATAAATATTCCATGCTGTGATAGCTGAAATGTGAAAAGCCACCCAATGTTTTATAATTCCTCTCCAAGAACATGATCTCTTAAACTATCATTGACCAGAGGATGAAAAATGCAACCAAAAGTAGAAATAACCACTTCTGGGTTCCTGCCTGCTATTTAGACATGTAAGTCGTTTGGCCATGGTAAAAGTGCCTGAGGTAAATAGTTGGAAAAATCCCAGTGACAGGAGATAAAATTCTCCCAGTCAAGAGACTAGTTAAGAGGAGATGTGCATAAACACACATGAATCCCAGTAAGTAACAATTGCATTGGCAAATCAGTAGAAAATGACCTGGTTGGTTTGACTGGATTCCAGTTTACACTACTGTTTGAACAGACTCTAGTTCTTTAGATTTTTATAGGAGTAGGCTGTTTGCCACAATACCTTTATTACTGAATAAAATTCAGCAGTATCGCTTGTTACATAGTACACTCTAAGACTGATGTACAAGAACAGGAGAAAGATCTGGTGAATTGATTCTTTATCGCACAAAAGCATCTATGATCAGCCTTCTGCAAAATAACCTACATCACATTAACATCTCTTGCTGTCACCGATAACAAGCTTGGTTGTCTCAACCGAAAACTAATGAACTAGCTACTAAAACAAACTACTGAATTCCTTGTAGCATGCTCATTTATTTTCAAACTTTTGCTGGCAGTTCCTGTATCTGCCTGTGCTTTTTGAACTTTCTCTTGAGGAGGAAGATCCTTCCAAAGTAACATTAATCCTCTCTGAAATAGTTTTCAGATCTTTTGGTAAAGAAAAGCTTTCATTTATGTGTTACTTCTTTCATTGAAGTAAATTACTGGTGAGTGTTTGAATATCCTCTGTTAATACCTGTTAATACCACAATGATGATGGATTTTCCTTTGAGTTGAATACATCTGACATTTGGGCTTTTTCTTAAAGAACCCATACCCTCATGGAAACTGCCTCTGAAATTGCCTTGCCTTTTTAAGGCAATAAGTTATCATGTCAAGTGTCAGAGAGAGGGGATTTTGTGCCCCATTAAAACAAGGCATCCTGAGCAGTTAGGATCAAGTGATGACAGAGTGGTTTCTCCATTCATTAAGGTATTGGCTTATTACAGAAATTCATGTCATCCCTTATGTTTCTGTACTAATGTAAAGTCTCTGATTTTCTTCCTAGTGTGAAGACACCTTACTACAGCTCTGGTTTGCTCATTGAAAGCAATGACATTTACACCAAGGTTTATGCCAAATTAGGCCTGATTCTGATATGGAATCAGGAAGATGCACTGATGGTATGTACAATCCAAGTCTGTTTTATTGGTATAGAATCATAGAATCTGTGGTTTCCTGGGTTTAACAGTCCAGTTTTGGGTTTCCTGTGTTTAACAGTCTACTGTATACTGAACAGAAGTAGAATTTCACAAACTGAACAGAGCTAAAGTGTTAGGCTGACTCATCCAACTGATACTTATTTAAAAACATAAATTTATTTTCTTTGCAGTGTGATAGAGGTTGCAGCATGGCATGCAGATGATATTAGTGGTCTCAGGAAAGGGAAAAGGAGCTTTCTGGAAATAGCTAATGTTTTTGCTATAGCACCTTAACAATCCAATCTGTATTTTCCTTCATTTGTCTTTTAAAGGACTGCCATCATCAGCTTTCCTAATTTTAACCCAGTAGGGAAAAGAAGGAGAAAAACAAACAGGAAAAAAAAGTCCTGTGATTTTAAGAATGCTTTGTTTTTCATTTTTATCATGATGGTGGTTACTGCCATTACTGAAATATAGGACCTTCAGCCACTTCTTTCTGTTTTCTGTGGTTCTTTTTGCATCTAACTGCGTGTTTATTAACTATGTTACAAATTCATTTGCAATGCCTACTTCTCTAACGAGTTTTGTATTAATTTGCTTTGGAACGTCTTCATGATCCAGATAATTTTCTGTGTTTTCTTTTTTTCCCCATTACCTAGGTGGAGCTGGACAGCAAATTTAATAACCATACATGTGGTCTCTGTGGGGATTACAATGGAGTTCCAATCTACAATGAGTTTATTGATGGAGGTGAGTCATCCTGCCATCCTGACAGCTACTACAGGAGATAAGGTGATAAGCACCGTGCATAGGAGCATCACAGGACAACAAATTTGTCCTCAGAGATTTTTGCAGTTGCCCCAGAATAAACATTATGTTCCAGTGCTACATTCCTTGTCTAAGGTTCTGTTTTTTCCAGATTAATCATCTTGTTCTTTTCTATACTGGCCTTCTTTTCTTGTGTGCTTTAAATTTTTAAGCACACTTAGACATAACAGACATAATTCAAAGCAGAAACCTGTATTTGATACCATAGCAGCTGTTTTCCTTGATCAGTAGAGTCTTGGAAATTAAGCGTTCCTTGTTCTCAATTTTTGGAGCTTAGCAAGACCTCTTTGTATTTTTTTTTCATAGATACCAGCTACAATTCAATAACGTATGGGAATTTACAGAAGATCAGCAAACCGAATGCCGAATGTGAAGATCCTGATGAAACTCAGGCTCTTCCAAGCTGTAATGGGCATGTGAGTGTTCCTAGCATCTAACTTCACTTGCAGGGGCACATGGAGACATCCTTGCGCTGTGGGGAGTTAATGTGTGAGGAGCTGGGAAGACTTTGTCACTTCCAGGGACAGTCACAGTCTTGAATAACTGGTGCTGTTAGAAGACAACAGCTTTTATGACTAGACCTGACATGTCTAGAAGCTCAGGTGCTTACAAATCTCTTAAAAATTATTATTCTTCCTCCTTAGCGTGATGAGTGTGAGAGGTTGCTGACTTCCTCTGCATTTGCTGATTGTCGGTTACGTCTTAATTTGGAAACTTACATCCAAGCCTGCATGCAGGACAAGTGTGCATGTAAAGGAAATGAGGACTCCTTCTGCCTCTGCAGCACCATCTCTGAATATTCTCGCCAGTGTTCACATGCGGGTGGTCGCCCAAGTGAATGGAGGACACAGCACTTTTGCCGTAAGCAGCTATATAAATTTTACAAAGAAACAAATATTTCATGGATATAGCACTGCGAAACATTTAAATTCATTCCTTCTTTACAAAACTATAGGCATATATGATAAATATCATACCAATAGTGCAATAAACTACATACCATGTTCTTCCTGTTTTTTTCTTCTATTACCCTTGTTATTAAGAAATCTTTTTTCAGCAACTAGAAATTCTATTTGCATTAGAAAACTCTGAAGTCTGATGCTGCAGATGACTGGTATAATTTGATTTATATGAGACCAAAAGAATAAAATACAAAAAGCAGGTAAAGCAGTTCAGAAAGGGACAAAAATGCTTTGCCAGATGGAATCTGGCTTGGGACAACACTTGCTTGAGGGGAGTAGGGGATGTAATCTGTGATTTCTGAGGAATGATGAACTTTACACTCAAATAACTAATGGTATCTTTCTCATTCTTTCAGCCAAGACCTGCCCTGATACCATGGTCTACAGAGAAAGCAGCTCACCCTGCATGGATACTTGCTCACACTTGGGGATCAGCAGCCTTTGTGAGGAACACTACATGGATGGTTGTTTCTGCCCTGAAGGCAAGTCTTATTATAGTCAAATTGTATCTTAAAAATGAGTACTACTACTCAGTATTTCCCCCCCCAGGGGAACGTAATTATAAGTTGTTGGTTTTTTTAAAAAAGGCGTCATGATCGATTAATTAGTCAGGGATTTTATAGTTAAATCATATTAACACAGTGACAGGTAATAAATCTGCTTTTTACTTCTCAACAAATGGGTTTCTGCTAATATATAGAAAACCATGCTTTTGGGGTTTAATAATTCTGAGGCAATGGACATCATTTGCTAGAGAGTGATAACGAGGGGGGCAGTGAGTGAAATTCTCAGACTTACTGTCAGGTTTATGAAAAAAGATTACAATGGTAGTCTGTAGAGTATGCTAGAAGGACTGAAAATCCAAACATAAAATTCTGAGATTGTTCTTATATACTTATATTAGGCTTTTTGTCTGTGTATATAAATGGATAGACTTGGATTTTTAAAGCTGTATAAAAGTGTTTTCCATTTGTCTTATATTACAAAAAGTAGAAACAGTACTCATCACAGTTTTGATAAACTCTGTCTCTGCTTCCTGTGTCAAGTTGAGTGCGTGCCTCCTCTGAGAGTTTCTCCTCTGTGGAAATTGCTTATTTCAGAAAGGGCTGGAATAGTTTACTCTTGTGCTTTACAGGAACTGTGTACGATGATATTACTGAAAAAGGCTGCATACCTGCTAGCCAGTGCCACTGCAAACTCGATGGAAAGGAGTATTCACCTGGAGAAAGCATTACCAATGAATGTGAAGAATGGTAAGGATCACGATTGTTTTTATACCTTTCTTTGAATTAATGTAAATGGGTCTGCATTTTTCAATCTTCCATTTAGTCATAGGAGACTTCCTGAAAACATTCTGAACTTAACATCTACGTTGCATGTGTATACAACCAATTTTCTGAAAAACATTTTTCTTTCTGTGGCATATGGCAGAGAGAAAATCTTAAGGAAATGGTCAAAGACACAGTTTTAAAACATCTAGGGGCATCTTGCTGTTTGCTAGGTATACAGGTGCTTTCAGTGGTCTCAGCTCCTGTAATACTTACAAGTATTTTTTTATTATTTATCTGTTTATAGCACCTGTGATTCAGGCAGATGGATGTGCAAAGATTTACCCTGTCCAGGCACATGTTCAGTGGAAGGAGGTTCCCATATTACCACCTTCGATGGGAAGAAATACACCTTCCATGGAGACTGTTACTATGTGTTGGCCAAGGTACTCTGTACTGTCGGGCTTTTCTCTCATAAATACAAGTCTCTGTGCACAGCTGTGAATAGTTGCTTTATTCCATTTTTATGGGATGAAGGAAACAGAAATACTTAAAGCTGTACTGGAAAATTCAGGATGGGCTGTAATAGCCGTAGAGATGAGTTGGGCACTTACTGCAATGGGTGGTTAACTTAGGCAGTAGACTACATATGCTGTCATTATCCAGTGGAGTCTTTCATGTATAAGAAATCAAAGGATCACTCTGGCTGCATAGATAGGTAGACTTCAAAAATTGGCACTTCTCAGGATTAGAAACTCTCAGTCAGATCTTTAATAGCTGTGTCTTTGTCTGAGTGTCAAAGCCAGCTATGGAAAGCAGCTAGGAAGCTATTTCATTCATCTCTTCCTAAAACACGTGGTGCCTGTTATAGAGAATGCTAAATATCTTGTTGAACTAGAAACCATACCACTGAATTTATTTGAAAGATGGTTCAGCTTCCAGAGCCAGTGCTGAAATGGTGATCTTAATAATTAAGTTCTATAGTAATCATTATTGTAACTGATGACTTTATTCTTTGTTTTGGAAATCATCTCGTTAGATTTTTGATTGGACTAACGGACATTTATTTCACTGTGGTTTTAGGGTCCTACAAATGACAGTCATGCTCTCCTGGCAGACCTGGCTCCCTGTGGCTCCAGTGACAGGCAGACCTGTTTGAAGAGTGTTGTGCTGTTAGTAGATCACAAAAAAAATGTAAGTGTTGTGTGGGTTCTGCTAGATATATTGAAAATTAGCATGATTCCCTTACTGTGGAGCAATAACCAATTCTTCTGGAGTTGCTCTTCTGGAGAGATAAGACACCTCAGACAGGCTGCAAAAGAACTCGGGCTTCTGTCTTGAGAACTTGGAACTAAACTGAACAAAAGATGAGATTTAGATAAGCTGACGTTTTTTCCTCTTCCCTTGTCTGCTTTGTGCTATGTAATTATTCTTACTACATTCCAGGCTGGCTGAAAGTAAGAGTGCCATTCCTCCTCCCCTCATAGTCTTTTACTTTGTTCAGATATAATTTTATAGATCTAATTGAGTCTTTTTCAGGAGAGATCCCATTTTTGAATTTTGATATAATCCAACCTTCTTAAATTTTTATATTTTCATTCACTGTAGTATTCTGTTTGGTTATGGGAATAGCTAGACTATATACATAATACATATACATATGTACACATAATTTTCCTCCTGTATTTCTGGTCTTCCATGTCCTTGCCAGCATAACCAGAACAAAACCAAAACAAATCAGAAACCCAACATTTTATGTTTCTGTATGTACGGCCTAGATTTTTATGAGAAAGTTTAATAAGCTGCTTTCTTACCATGCCAGAGTCATCCTAAACCACTGCAAGGAAGCTGTGGCACATGCTTTTATAGGGAATAGGAACTTGCTATAGATCCTGAAGACCCAATATTTTCTTTTACTTGCTGAAACCAAGCTAGCAATATAAAGGAGCTTTGCATTTCATTACTGCTATAAATTGTTGCGGGCAGGTGTAAATGAAACACTGATTAGCAAGATGAAACCTTACTTTTACATTCACTTTTCAGACAGGTTCTTCCTTTTAAAGATTTTAAGTTCTAGTCACAGTCTAAACATGCAAAATGTCTTCCCTCCTAATTTTTTTTTATTAGTTCCTTTTCCTCTCGGTACCTGGAGCCCCATTGATTCTGTTTTGTCTTATACAGGTGGTGGTTTTCAGATCAGATGGCAGTGTGTTGCTGAATGAAATGACAGTGAACGTGCCTCATGTGTCAGGTAAGGGACATAGCCTTGGGTGTCATGTGTCAGACATAACTTCTCATGTGGGGTTGTATTTTTTTCAGAGGCAAAAGTGGCAGAGAGGCATATGAAATTTGTTCAGATTTTGGAACAGCTTGCGGATGAATGTGATTTAGTAGTCATCACTGAGAATTTTATGGGCAGACCAACTCGGTAGGCAGCAGATGATTGAAAAATATGCCCCGTCATTATTTTTGTATGTCTTGAATATACTTTGGCATGTAGCTTGGGAAAGAGGAATTGCAGTGGCATAAATTTAAAACAAATAACCTGCTTATAAGGAGGGGTATTTAGTACTTTCCAAGTCTGGCTACAATGGTGTAGGCATGTCCTGTCTCTCAGTCATGGTGAGGCTCAGGCATGTCTCTCACCTCGCTTCTTCCACGTATTTTTGTTTGGGTGGGGTTTTAGGGTTTTTTTGTTTTGGTTTGGTTTTTTTGTTTGTTTGTTTTCCCTGTGGGGAAAAAAGCCCAGCAGAAGGTAACTGCTGTGTTTTCTGCAACCAGGGCAGGGAAGAAGGTTGGGCTGTGTAACACCCTCTCATCAGCCTACTTGAGACATTAGCATCTTTTTATATAACCAGTGGATTTAGAAAAATACTTTCAGAGGCTGATGCAGATCACCTAGCTTAGGAGTCTAACTTCCGGTGGAAGGTCACTATCAGGCAGCAGCTGTGAGCTTTGGAAATAACTTTTGAAAGGAACGCAGAACTTCTCTTTTTCACTCCTTTTTAGATATGTTCAGGCAGTACACTGACACAGTATGTGTTGCTTCTTATTTACTGGCCTATCTGCAGATGGCAAGTTACTTGCAAGAAAGTAATTCTTTGTCTGAAAGGATAAGTATTTATTTGATGATACATTCATGAATGCTTTCACAAAAACAATTACAGTGTGTAGCTGAAAGTTTAGAGAAATTAAAGTGCTCTAGGCAATAAAATAGACCATCTAATAAGTTCATTAAATAGATAAATAGAGCATATATTAATAGATTTGTAAGAGATTGGTTAGCCAGTAGATGTTGGTTTTCTGGACTTCAGTAAAGCTAAAGTAAAACTATTTAGTAAAGCTATTAGAGAGTCCAGAGGAGGGTGACCAAGATTGTGAAAAGTCTCGAGGGCAAGACTTGTGAGGAGCAGCTGAGGTCACTTGATTTGTTCAGTTTAGAGAAGAGAAAGCTGAGGGGTTACTATATCACGGTCTACAGCTTCCTCAAGAGGAGCAGCAGAGGGGGAGGCGGTGATGTCCTCTCTCTGGCGACCAGAGATAGGACACGAGGAGATGGTATGAAACTGCTTCAAGGGAAGTTCAGATTGAACATTAGGAAGAGGTTCTTCACTGAGAGGGTGGTCCGTCACTGGAACAGGCTCCAGAGGCTTGGTGCCTTGATCATGGCACCAAGCCTATCAGAGTTCAAGAAGCATCTGGATGACACTCTTAAACATATAGTTTAGTTTTAGGTAGTCCTGTGAGGACCAGGGAGTTGAATTGATGATTGTTACAGGTCCCTTCCAATTTGATATAGTCTATGACTTCATGATTCTAATTAAAAAGCCTGGTTCCTCCAGTATGCTGATTTTGTGTGTCAGTTCTACTGATTTTTTATAATGGCTTGAATAACTTCTATTAATATTGAATAACTTCTAACATTTTACAAGTAGTAGTGTTTACCTATGCATTGGCTTGTAGAAACACCCCTATTACTTATTGTAAGTAACAGTGCTGGGATAATGTTTCCTCAGAAAATCTCTTACTCTTCAGATTGCTGAGCATCAAAGAGTTAGCATTGAAGCTGTTTTGCAAAAAATCTGAATTTGATTCTATTCCCAGGGATGAGTCATTATAGATAATCAGCTTAAGTTAGTGGAGACCTAGCAATGCAACTAGCGTTGTATCTAGTTGCTCAGTGATTTTTAGAGGAAAGCTATCAGTAATTTGATCTTGATCTCAGACTTTTCATGGCAGGTGATGCCTTAGAATCTAATAAGAAGTGTTTCTTTTGGCAACCTATGTGTGTGTTTACTGCACAGTTCATGTTTTGTTTTTCAGCCAGCTTCTCAGTATTCAAGCCATCTTCCTACTACCTTGTTGTACAAACTTCTTTTGGGCTTCAGCTGCAGATCCAGCTGTTTCCAGTCATGCAGGTGTTTGTGACTGTGGATCAATCGATTCAAGGAAAACTTCAAGGCAAGTGTCTATTCAAATGGAAAACAAAGCTGTGGTGTTTCACAGCTGAAGTGTCATTTATTCTTTACGTGAGTGAAAATTTTTGCTACTTATTTATTCAAGAGAAGGAAACTGAAAGCCAAAACCAAAATATTGGAAGAGAATTGACTCAAACAAACTAGAAATGCATTTTTATGATTTGATATTGAAGTGCCCTATCACTCTGGTGCCTGTACATCAATCTTTCTTAGAATATTTCTTAATTTTGTATTCAGTTTTTAACTATCCACAAACCCAGGATTTTGGTGCATTTTGTGGTTTTAATGTCATCAGAAAGCATAAACAATACAGGTTAGGGTGGTGAACCCCTGAGGCAGAGATATCTTCGTGAAGACTACTCTTCTCAAGAGGTTAAAGATTTAAAATAAGGCTCCTAAATCTTTAATACTTACAGTATGCATTAATATTGAGGTGGAATAATCAGCTGTATGAACTTCTCTTTCTAATGTTTGTTCCTTTCCCTTTAACCTTTTAGAATAAGAGTGAGTAATAATTATGTAAAATTTTTACCTTCTTTTTCAATAGGTCTTTGTGGAAACTTTAATGGAATGGAAGGTGATGACTTCAAAACGAGCAGTGGGCTGGTAGAAGCTACAGCATCTGCCTTTGCTAACACATGGAAAGCTCAGTCCACCTGTACAGATCAGGTAGAAAAGCTGGAAGACCCCTGCAGTCTCAGTATTGAAAGTGGTAAGCACACTAATAAGTCAGGTGGTTGGCTTCTTCCAGAATGAACAGCATTGCTATATATTACTGCAACCGGTGTGTAAGAGTTGTAGTGCGGCACTGAAGTTTTCTTAGAGGACTGCCAAATTAATTTCTGCAAGTCTGTGAACATATGAACACTGATTTCCTATCAAATGGAAATTAAAATTTAGGGGGTGATTGTAGAGCAATCCTGAGCTGGAAAAGAGGGAGGCAAGGTATTTATACTAGCTGCAAAGGCAGCTTCTATTTCCTAGTATTAATTATTACTATGTTTAACTTTAAAGCTTTATGGTCCCCAAATGGGAAGGGCTGTTACAGTTCCATGTAGACAAGTTGGAGTGAATAGACAAGTACAGTGAATGCATGTGGTTTCTCCACTTCCCAAAGTGAACGTAGTTCTCTGATTTGTATTATTGCATGGCATTCATGTGACAACATAACTAGGCATGGCACAAGGAAGATAAATGAATGTAATGAATATAAAGATATAATTTCATTTTTCTCCCTTTTTTTAAGCAATTTATGCTGAGCATTGGTGTTCATTGCTGAAAAATCCAGAAGGTCCTTTTGCAAGATGTCATGTAACCGTTGATCCTACAGAATACTATAAGGTATTGTAATCTTGCACTCTTTTTAGTACTGCTTTATTTCAGACAGATCAAGGTAGACGTTTATCATTGTTCAAATATTTGAGAGTAGCTTGCCCATACGAGCTGGTGAGGTTTTTGCAGTGATTAACTGAGCTAGCATAGCATGCATCCCAAGTATCTCCTATGATGAGATTTTTATGGAATGCTGCTGAAGAAAAAATTTATTCTTCTGGTTTCTTATGTTTTGTATTTAATGTATGTGGTATTTAATAATTCGATATTTAATGATTCAATAATTGAACTGGAAAGAAGAATCAAGAGATGCAGATGTGCACAGAAAATTTAACTCTACCCTTACACATTAGTAGCTATTAAGTCAGAAATTTTAAAAAGTCATTATTTATTATCATTTTCATGCCAGAATCTCCGTGGTTTCTTTTTGCCCTGTGCTCATCGCTGTTGAGCAGTGATTGAGGATTACCTGAGAAAAAAGGAGGAAATTCCTAGGTCTTTGCTCATACCTGGAACTCTGAGTCTGAGCTCAAATTTACTGAAGATCTTCATACATTTGGTTAATATCTTGCCATTACAATTTTAAATTTTTATGGATCTCATCGTTTCTAAGTTGTAACTGAGGGAGAATGGTAACAAAATCATAGAATCACAAAGTCATAGAATAGTTTGGGTTGGAAAGGTCCTTTAAAGGTCAGCTAGTCCAACCACCCTGAAGATGCAGGGACATCTTCAACTAAACATCCAACCTGACCTTGAACATTTCCAGCAATAGGACATCCACCACCTCTCTGGGCAACCTGTTCCAGTGTTTTGCTACCCTTAGCATAAAAAATTTCTTCCCTATATCTACTCTAAATCTTCCCTCTTTCAATTTAAAACATTTACCCCTTCTCCTATTGCAACAGGTCCTGCTAAAAAAAAAGAAGTTACCCATTGTTTTTCTTTGGGTTTACTGACCCTTTCATTGATTTTTCAGAAATGTAAATATGACACTTGCCTCTGTGAAAACAATGAAGAATGCTTGTGTGCTGCCCTGTCCTCTTACTCAAGAGCCTGTGCTTTCAAAGGGATCATACTGGGAGGCTGGAGAAAAAGTGTCTGCAGTAAGTAGTGAAACTGTAATCCCTGTGGAATTAATTAGCCATGAGAAATATGCAGATCCTCTCTGAATTTGGTTGTCAGTGATCTCAATGTTAAGGGATTTGGAGTACCTTAGAAATGTCTAGTGGACTTAAAGAGACAATGCTTATAATATTTTTTTAATTCGTCTAATATTCTTTAGCTGTCATTTGTTCATGACATTTAAAAGTAGAAAGCAGTATTTTTCACTTTCAACTTCTTTCCCCAGTTTAAATAATAATGCTGTTTCTATCTTTGACTAAGGGGATCCCAGCCATCAAGAGTTTTACATTGTCTTTGCTTGTCACTGTCTTTTTTTTATCATTGTCCTTGCATTTTATCAGCAGCACGGTACTGTTGCGACTATGATTTTATCATATTGTGCTCTCTCTCTGATTATCAACATGTGAAACAAATATGGGTATACAAGCATAAACTATTGGTAGCAGTTAAAAAGAAGTCTTGAACTGGTAAAGAAAGTTATGCTAGCATTACTTGTGACATAATATTTTTGTACTTTAATAAAATCTAAGGGAGTATTTTTACCATTACATGCTGCACAGACAACGAAACCTAAATGGAAATGTCAAGCTTAAATTGTTCATCCTGCATCCCTTATTTATCAGTTTGTTCATTTTCCCCCCAGCCAGTGAAGTGTCTGCCTGCCCAGGAAATCAAATCTTCCTTTACAATCTTACAATGTGCCAGCAAACCTGTCACTCTCTTGCTGATGGTGAAAAGCATTGCTTGCAAGACTTTGCTCCTGTGGATGGCTGTGGCTGCCCATATAATACATACTTGGATAACCAGGGTACCTGCGTGCCCAGGTCCAAGTGCCCATGTTATTACAAGGGGTCATACCTGGAACCAGGGGAATATGTCAGCAGAGATGGAGAACGTTGGTATGTCTTATTGTGCTTTCTTGATTGTGGGGATAAAAGCCCTTTTTAAAATTTGCTTATTATGTGTAAGGTGCTTAGCTTTTTTTTGGTGCTTTGATGAACATTTGTATTATGTTTTACACCATCTTCATGCTGAGCAAAGCATCATACTGTTGCAATGTAATTTATTAATATTTGAGAAGCGCAGCTTTGTTTGGAGGTATGAGTAGTGGCCTTCACAGATAAATGCTATTATGAAGCTGCACTGTTAATAGGACTTTTTTGAACAGAAAGTTAAATGGAAGACAAAAGGCCACCCATAATGTTATGTTCCTGTTTCTTTCTCCGTCAGAGACGGATTGCTTGTGTTTTCCACTGGAGGAAGGTTCCCTTGATATGCGTTTACTATAGCTTAGGTTTTTGAAAACAACTTCCAGGATTCTGGTATTTTTATGATGGACTCTGACAATTGTTTGCTGCATGAATCATCAGTGCAAACTGTGAAACGCTTCCTTTTCTCATCCAGCAGATGAAGCATACAGGTTAACAAATTAGCAGCATAGGAGTTGAATAAGCATGAAATTATACTATGTATTCAAATGAAGGCTTTGATTTAAATTATCATTAGTATCTGTTTCATTATTATCTGCTTCCTGAGTCATCAAAAAAGCATAGTATCAAGGATTAATAGAATAGTTGACTTCCCTTAACACATAATCTTTCTGTCATTATGCCTAAAATCAAGTTCACATCAATAGAGTTGGCCCTGAAATATCAGTGGAAATTATGCAAGACCATCTCTGATAAATACTCTCAAATTTATATAAACAGATTCTTAGATTTAAATTGAAGACACTGAGCTTACTTTTTTTTTTATTTCTATTTACTTCAATTCTTTTCTAGTGTTTGCCGAAATGCAAAGGTCCAGTGTACTTCAGTGAAACTAAGAATGAAAAGTAAGTGGCATTCTATAAAGTAAAATAAAACAAAAACCATAACACAACCTCTAGACCTAAAGCTACACTTTAAATTTGAATTCTCCACCTGTTGTTTGTTTGTTTGTTTTTTCTCTTTATGTGAAACAGTTACACATTTTCACCTTGATCTGTCTTCACCGAGCCTCTTATTTTTATAAGGATAGGCATACCCTGAGACTTCTCAGTAGCTACCACTTTTCACATACATTTCTTTTTCTTTTTCTTTTTTTTTCTTTTTCTCTTTTTCTTTTTTTTTCTTTTTCTCTTTTTCTTTTTCTCTTTTTCTTTTTCTCTTTTTCTTTTTCTCTTTTTCTTTTTCTCTTTTTCTTTTTCTCTTTTTCTTTTTCTCTTTTTCTTTTTTCATCTAAACCATCAATATACCTTTCAGATGCAACAGAATGCTCTTCTAACAAGATATACTTTGACTGCAATGCATCCCCACACTGGACTTCTCAAACACCTGTACAGCTTAGCTGTCATACTCGTGGAACTGATCATGTATGTATTCAGTTTTTCTCCATATCACGTTACCTTCATTCTGTATTCTTTAAGTGACAGTGCAACCCAGAAAATGCATTTCTAATAATAGTTTATTTCTCTTTGGTTTAATCTTCCTTTATTTCTCCACAATGATATTACTGTGTTGTCATGATAATTTCATGATAATTCCCCTTATGTTTCTCCTCTCCTTTTTCTTTTTACTGTGTTTTCAGTAGAGTCTGAAATATGGTTTGGGTTCTTAGACAATCAAAAAAGAAAAGAAAAAGTATTAGAATCCTAGAAAGAAAATCCTATAAAACTAATCAGTATTATGCTGTCTGGCTATAAATGCAGTTTTTACCAGAGCATTTATGAAGAAGTGGAAGAAAAATGTAGTGCTTTTTCATAAAGTAAAAGTATCTCCTTATATTCCTTAGTTCCAGGCAGAGTGTGTCTCAGGTTGTGTGTGTCCTGAAGGTCTATTTGATGATGGGAGAGGGGGCTGTGTTGAGGAGAAGGACTGCCCATGCAGTCATAACAACCAGCAGTATTCTCCTGGAGAGAAGATAACAGTGGACTGCAACACCTGGTAAGTTATAATTTTGTACTCTCTTCTAGAATATATTGTATGCAGTAAATCAATAGTCATGTCTAGGCTTATGTACTGCAATGGCTTGTGTACTACAGTGGCTATAGCTGCAAGTATAAATTTTTATTTTCATGCATACTTTTTGCTACCTGAGGAAATACAGATTGTGCTGAAAATATTGGTGTAATAGATACCTCTGTTTTCAGTAGGTATCTCTTGTTGTGAAAATGCACTCATTTTTTAAATATAAAAACACTTTCAGATCTAGAAAGTGTAGCTGGCCAGAGTTAAAAATCATGTTATAGGCTTAAAAACAGGCTAAACTATTGAAGTTGAGACTTAAGACACTCTGTAACACTGAAATGGGTATTGTGCACATTATCACATTGTATCAGTTAGCTGCTTGGTTTGTTCTGCAGTTTTCCAAACAGCACACATTTGCTAAGATCTGAAAATTCAGCTCTTCTGCTCTCTTCTAGTACCTGCCAAAATGGAGATTGGAGCTGCACTAAAGATCTGTGCTATGGGACTTGTATGATATATGGAAGTGGCCATTATAACACCTTTGATGGAAAATTCTATGACTTTGATGGGAGTTGTGAATATGTGGCTACTCAGGTAATGCTCATCAGAGGGCTGAAATGACATCTGATTGCCTTGATGTTCTACTTTCCTCTTTGGTTTTGTCATTCCTTGTGGCCTGCCATCACTGTTCCTGTGATGTTTACACATTCTGCCAGCATAGATGCTCTATTTTCACTGCAGGCAAGCTGTGTGTATGGGGATTTTTTCTGATACAGTGATCATAAATTGTATGTAACAGGACTATTTTACCATGAGAGTTAACAGCTCATCAGTTGTGAAATAAATCAAAACTCTAAGTTTACAAAACAAAGTAATTTATATTTAAAGAGATATTCCTCATTTTGTTTTATTGTCCCACTTTCTTCCCAGGATTTGCCACATATGAGATTGTATTAACTGTTTATATGTATGTAGAGATGTCTGTGTATACTTTTGTGTGTCTGTAAAAATATATGTATGTAGGATTTCACACATGAAGCAGTGGCAATGATTTATACATTGTGAGGATTTAAATTGTTGTAATTATTATGATCTTGAACTAAAAATTAAATATTCTGCCTAATTTTCTTATGCTCATTTTTCCCTTTTTCAATAGGATTTTTGTGGTGACAAAAATTCCAGTGGCTCGTTCAGTATCATCACGGAGAATGTCCCCTGTGGAACTACAGGAGTCACCTGCTCAAAGGCTATAAAAATTTTTCTAGGGGTGAGTAATGATACTCAATACATATATATCAGTATTCAAGTATTTAAAATAAAGTAATGCTCCAAAGCCACATCCCTAAAAGCAGCTATAACAAGTAAAGGTTAGAGCCCCTATCAAATTAATCTGTAAATTTGTTGATTCTCAGGTACTGAAACCTCTCTGAAACAAAGGTGCTACACCACTTTCTGTCATCTAGAAAAATCATCCCAGACTTCGAGCTATTGGTTTCAGAATGAGTTGTATTATTATGAGTGTCTCGTATTTTATGTCATCATAAAAGTTAGTGTTACAATATTTCTCTTTCTGTCTTTCAGAAAACAGAGCTGAAACTGGAGAACAAAGATTATAAAGAAATTCAGCGAGATATTGGTGATGATGTGCCATATTGGAACAGGACAGTAGGCCTCTACCTTGTTATTGAGGCTAGCAATGGTGTGATGCTTATCTGGGATAAGAAGACTACTCTTTTCATCAAGCTGACCCCTGATTACAAAGTTAGAACCTGTCTTGTCTTTTTCTGAAGTAGTAGTATGAATAGATAAATGAGATAAGGAAACATAAATGTTTTTTTAGTCAGAGTCTGTGTTTAATTCCTATATCCTCTGCATGTTGATGATTAGCTTGCATTATTACTATCACAGCTTGCAGAGGTACTACTGCAGTTCCTTACAGTCCAGTAATGCATTACAGAGGATGCGTAGCATATGTTTGCAATAAAGCTAAACATCTAACACATTCTGAGTTTGAGAATATTAAGAGCCAAACATTCACAGTAATTTAGGGGATCCCACATGGAATCTCAGCCCTGAGTTAAAATAGAACTGCCGATGCAACGTATGGAGATGTTTCTGATTTCTGAAAATTGGCATACTGAATTATAGAGTACTGAATTCATTGGACTGAATGAGGTGGTGTGGGGTTGTATAAACAGGGACATAGTGTTGCTTGAGGAGACTGATGTGCCTTAAATAGCGCTACCAAAATTTCATTATTGTGGGTAAGTTGGTAAATTCTTTCTTTTGAGAAAAATGCATCCCTGTCATTTTTTTCCCATGGATTAAGAAATGGTGTTCATTATGTTAGAAACTTTAAATAAAAACAGTTTTAAGCAGAATGAAATTCCCTCAGGATTATATTAATGGCTAAATGATGAAAAATTGAGAAGAATGGGAAATAAATTAATTCTTCTCAGCTGAATGAGGCTTAGCTACTCTTTAGTGTTATAAGTTGGATGAAGAGCCACCACAAAGACATGGAAATATACTGGGTATGATTGGCTTCAGGGAGGGAAGACATGGCAGCTGAGTACAGAGACAAATAAAGGTTTAATTTCTGTACAAATGATTTAAAAGTGAAGATGAAAATACATAAGTTACACAAAGAGTCATTTGTCCTTTTCAATGCCAATGTTTTGCTCTTGCTTTACTGGAGTCTGTTTCTCACTTTCATGGTATGTTTAAAAGCTGTGGATATGTTAACTTTCCTTTCCAGGGCAAAGTATGTGGTCTGTGTGGCAACTTTGATGACAAGTCCAACAATGACTTTACAACAAGGAATGGGCTGCAGGAGACTAATGCACTGAAGTTTGGGAATTCCTGGAAACAGTCTTCCTTGTGCCCAGATGTCACAGAAGAGATTAAGCCCTGTGATGTGAAACCACATCGGAAGTCCTGGGCAGAGAAAGAATGCAGTATCATCCAGAGTGAAGTCTTTAAAATTTGTCACTCCAAGGTATGTAGAGGGCAGTAAGTGATGGGATTTCTGTTACTGCAGAAACGGAGAGAACATCAGAAATGAATGTGAAGAGATCATTAAATAGAATGATCTTCAATAAGGTCTTAATACAGCTACAGGTATCAGCATATTTCAGCTAGCCTAAGTCAAAGTAGTTTGGGTATCTGTGGCAACGGGACTGTATCAGTAGTGGTGCCAGCCCCGGGTGTACAAACCCATATTCATCACCACAGTTTCTCAGCGACTGCTGTGTAAGCTAGGTTCAAAAATATAGCATGAATAGATGTGTGTGTGCTGCAGTTGCACCATCTCTTGTTGAGATGTCAATGCTGTAAGTTCTGAAAGGCCTTGTGATCATCAGACCCCCTCTTCTGACAGAAATGTATACTATACTTGAAAGATAGCTGTTGAAGAGACCACTGCTCGTAATATTCAACCCACAGAAGGAATGTTCTTGGAAACTACTGACATCACACAGTTTAGGCAGGCTTAGCTGCTAGTACTGTGCCTCCAAATTGTCATAGCACACCCTGTGTCAGGCCCACAGCTTCTAGCTCACAGTGCAAAGGGAGCACTCCTCTCTATTTCTTGTCTCTTTTCTGAAGTGTGGAAATATTACCAACAGCTTGTTCTTAACTGACAGTGGAAGAGTCAAAAAGAACTATTAATTTAATTAATTTAATGTATGTTTTTATGTTGATTCCTTCACCAGCTAAAATCCAGTTTTAAGTTTCTCCTCTTGCAGTCCCAACCAAAAAAAGTGGAAATGTCTTGCTAATGTGTGGAGTTGGATGAACTCCAAAAACTGGCAAGCACAAAATTCTCTGCTTCATATTTGCTGTGAAGTGCAGCCTTTCTGATATTGCTTACTGCTTGTTAGGCAAAACTTGCTGGGAGATAAGACTTTATTTGGTAAATCTTAGAAACTGTCTCACTCTTGTCCAGCTCAATTCCCATATCTCAAGGGATATCTCAAACTTACTTGTTTGAAAACTAATTTGGTGATGGACTGGGACATCATTTCTTTCCCCAACAGGTGGACCCAATTCCATTCTATGAAGCTTGTGTTCATGATGCCTGCTCTTGTGACAGTGGTGGAGATTGTGAGTGCTTCTGTTCTGCAGTTGCTGCATATGCTCAAGAATGTACCAAGGCTCAGGCCTGTGTTTTCTGGAGAACTCCTGATATATGCCGTGAGTAACAGTTAAACACAACTGTATCTTTCTGGCTGATGTCAAAAAGTCTATCAAATAAATCATTAATACTATCACTTCAAGGTCATGCAAAGTATGCAAAGCAATTTATTTTTGCACCATATCAGAGAACAAACAGAACTAGTAAATTTGTATATTTCAATTGTCTTTATTCAGCTTAGCTTCTCTGTTTCTTTTTCCTTTTTCTTATCTTTTTCTTCTCACTTCCCCTTTTTTTTTTTTGTGTGTTAAGGCTAGGTTTCAAGTCTGCCCTCCATTTTGCTTGATAATTGATGAACTGCAACTGCTGTTAGCTTTTGCTTCTCTCTTGTTTTTTCAAAGTATTCAGAAATTGATTTTAGCAAAAGTATATAGAAGTACTACTGTGTAGATGAACCCGATCAGTATTGAGTATATTAAGCAGTGTCCCTTAGTGGTGCTCATGCTCATACCAGTACATCATAAAGTAATGTAAAATAATATTTAAATGAATATTTTTCCAAAAAGTGTTCTCAAAACAAAATCTTCAGATTCTAAATGGCAGAAATGTAATATTTTTATTTAAAAAATTAATTCTGGTTCATATTTAAAGCTATTAGTGGCTTTTAAGTTTAAGAAGCCAGTGAAACAGAACTTTAAAATTTCAGTCAGCTCAGATACATAAGTTTATAAAAACTCCTTCCTCTGTCCGTAGTCGTCTAAGCTGAATTCTGTCCATAATGTCTCATATGCTTGTCTGGGCCTGCTGGAGGTGACTTTCAGTCCATGTGATACAGCAAAGTAGAACTATTTTGAATATACTGCAAGAGGTTTTAGGAGTTTGCCAATGGCTAGGTGCGAAAATGCTCTCAGAAATTTACCCTTAGTTTTAGATTAAAATCAACAGTATTTATTTATTTATTTTATGTTATTTGAATCAAACATTTTCACCCTGCAGCTTAAGTGTTTAATGTCATATCTTGGGCCCCAGAGTTTTTATGTACATTATGCTTAGCACAGCATAGCACAGCATAATAGAATATAGTAGAAGAAAGTCCAGGTCCTATACCTCAAGAGAAATTTTGCTGGTTTAGCATGTAGATTCGTTAGATTATACCTTTAAAGACCTGATCAGAACTGCATTCTGGCAACCATGTTTTTAATGAGCTTCTTTTTTTTCCCCTCATCAGCAATATTTTGTGACTACTATAACCCTCGTAATGAGTGTGATTGGCACTATGAGCCTTGTGGCAGTAATGTCACAACCTGCAAGATGATTAATAATGTCAGCACCAACTTCTCAGTACCATACCTGGAAGGTATTGCCATTTTTTTTTCTATTTTATTTCATATAACTTTGTCCAGCTACCATTTAATGAATATGGAATGGTCAGTCAGCTTGACCATATATTCCTAGATCTGTTATGTTGAATTCCTTTCCAGTCTTATATAAATGTTTCCTATAATGTAATTTCTTCTTTATTAACATCAGTGGGTGATAGTTACATTGTTGTCAGCCATAAAACTAGGTCTCTGCTTGGATAATATCCTGAAACATGCAAGATGATTACACTATTGCTATTTTGCATCCCATCCTTTTGCATTTCAAGAGAAAGAAAACTTTTTACATAGTAAAGAAGCAAGTTACTGATAGTTGGGTTTTTTTAACCTTATCATTCTTTATGCATCAGATCCATCTTGACTTCATTAGATTAATGTGCAGCTTTGTCCTATATTTACAATGAAAAATATCTTTGATATCAGACACACTGATGCTGCTATATATTGGATTCTTAACGGAGACCATAAAACGTTATTGTTGGCAGCCTACTGGCTACCTCCATTTTTAGTGTATTTGAATTTGCAGGTTTTGGTTTAGGCTTTAAGACCAAGAAGTGAGGCTAAACCAGATTATTCTGCATTGCATCCCACTATGAGGATCCACAAGCCATTTAAATCCCGTTGAACCCTTCAAAGGTTTAGGGATTGGAAAGAACTGCCCAGAGTTTGACTGCTATTTTAATCCTTAAACTGCTGGTAACAAAACAAAAACACCCCGAACAACCAAACTCTAAGCAAAATAATAAAGAAACCCCAAACAAACAAAGTCTATGTTTTGAAATAGATTGTCATTGACAGTTAGAAAGATTTGGTACGTGTCAGAAGGCAGATTGTAACGTATCCAGTTAACTTTCTAAATTTTTTTTTTTTTTTTAGATCTTCAGTGGAAGTACAGAGCACACTTACTTTTGTTAGGGCATCTTTAGTACAGTCTGGCAGTTTGAAGTGACTTTTAAGTACCAGTTAATTACTTGGTCATTCAGTTTATAGGCTATTTAGAACTCCAGTATAGTATAAAGAGGACATTATGTAATTAAGAATTGGACTTTATGAGAGTTTATTTGTAAGCAGGAAACAGGAATTTTTTAAAAGTGTATTTACATGAAAAATACAATGAGAATTGACAGACACTTAAGCCCTTACAGGTGGGTTTGAGTCACTAGCCAAGGGTATGGAATAATGCAGATAAATAATCTGTTTGGGGTAGAGATAACTGGCCTATTAAAGGCACATAAACAAGGTGTAATGTTCCAATAAATATAGTGAAAATCCTGTTTGCTAATGAATCCACTTCCGTGTTATTCACAGAAGTGTTATTGATGTAGTGATCACATTTCAAAATAATTTCTCTTTCTCTTAAAAGTACTAGCTGCCCATAGAAATTAATATAAATTAAGGGGTTCTTCAAGATCTTAAACTAGGAAAAAACAACTTCCCTGGTTTTCATGACTAAACTCTTATTTAATACTCCTCACCCCACCATATTCAATGAGAATGATTTAACTCTTTTGGAAAGAGTAATTGTGCAAGGATTAATTTGAATTGGAAATTTTCTGTTTCTTCCGCTATGCTTGACTAAGTGAGAATCATTTACTTTCAGAAAGTATCCTATTATTGAGTTAACTCTTCATACTTTTTCTTCATCTTTTATACTGTTCTTGTTATCAACAGGTTGCTACCCCAGATGCCCTGAGGACAAACCTATTTATAATGAAGAGACAAAGAAATGTGTGCGTGGAGATGAATGTGGGTGTTACATCAATGGAACTTATGTTCCACCTGGAGAAGAAATAGCCACAGAAGACAACTGTACAAAATGGTATATAAAAAATGCAGAAACATTTGCAGTAATTCAGGAAATAATTTATGTATGCTGAGCCCCTCATTTACTTTACTAGGCCTCAAGCAAATAGAAATGCAACTTCAGCTGAAGAGCTGGTTTATTCTAGCATTTATCTATACAAATCAGAGGAATATCCATTTATTCTGGATAAGACTTAAACTCAATAGATACTGCACTTACAATACATATAAATTGTAAACTTTTCATTCTTAATTTTCCAAACCCATAATAATCCAGATTTCACAGAATCGCCTATGTTGGAAGGGAACTTTAAGATCATGCCAATAGTGTCATTATAAGAAGTATATTAGCAAATTCATTAAGTATACTGTTTGAAGATACAATGATATAATGGCATGAAACCTAAGTGTGTCTCTAGAACAACCTTTTGATTCTCGTGGCTCTTTGGGAAGAAAGGGGCCACTCTGCCTTGTATTGTCACTTAAAACTGAGATTTCAAAATTACTGTAATCTGAAATGATCTGTACTAGCCCTGAAAGAGACAGTTGAGTCTTGACTGCTCGTTCCTAGAGCCTTATTAATCATAGCACTGATATCTATGTCTTCACATGGCGACCAGAGATAAGAACCCTGATCTAGCCAAAAGTTCACTGCTCTGAAAAACAATTGTTACTTTTGCACTCTTACAACTTGAGCACAAAGCAGTTCATTATAGTTTTAAGATATTGTACTTAAAGAATGAAAGTGATGACTTTGAATGAGATAATGATAGGCAATATTGGGAAATATTACACCCTGAAAAATACCCAGTAATATGAATGAAGATCAAGTGACAAATTTCCGTGTTTCTGTGCTCTTGGCTCTGCTAACAGGTGTCATAAAATATCTGCAACATTTGATTTCTTGAAAATTTTGCTTTTAGTGTTTGTCGCCCCCCCGGATCCATAGACTGCAGTCCAGTCCCAGGTAAATAACTTTTGTGTTTTTCAATAAGGAAAAATTAAAAAAAAATGCATAGAACTGCTATGTCTGTTTCTACAAAAGACTTAGTACTGATTTAGAATAATTTTTCCAGTGGAAGTGAAAGTTGTGACCAGAGAAAATTAGACAGCACTTTTGTTGAACCATGTTGTTAGTAATTCTTGTTCAACCTTTTTCTCACGTCCCATTATTCTTTCTCCCAATATCCCATATCTATGGACTTCACTACAAGAGTTTGCACTTCCAGAACATGTAGTATTACAGAAAAGTGTCAGATAGCAAACTGCAGTTGTTATTTCTCTCAGAACATTTTATCCTCTACATGTAGAGATAAATCAGTGCAATGCATGAGATCCAAGCTTCAGGTATAGCTCGTAAAGGAGCATGCATGACTCATGTAAATGCTTACTTTCCCATAAGTATTTTGCCTTTATCTCTTACCTGGTTATAGAAAAATTGCACAGTAAAGCTCTTTCTTGTAGGGTGTCCTTGTGTCATCAATGGAACAAGTTATCCAGTGAATGGATTTGTGGCAAAAATAGAGCATGACGGCATATGTATAATATACATTTGTGCAGAAAATGGTTCTGTAGTTCCCGAAGGGCCGCCCTTTCCTTGTCCGTCAACTGCTACACCTACAATCAGTTCAACCTCCGTTCCAACAAGTACTCTTACTGCCACAGGTAAACCTTCAAGAGTTGTACATCTAAAAATTATTTTCTTTAAGGAAAATACTTTAAAGATAGAATTTACAAGTGTATGGGCTTATAGTTGCCACAGATAGAGTGATACCTATGAATAGTTTAATGACACTGCACTAAGAAAGATTTTTAACGCTTTGAGTCAATTTACTTCTTGTGGAAGAAATTGTAACTGTAAATGTACAGGGTGCCTTCGTAATTCTGAAAAACATGTTAGCATTTCAGTATCCTGATGGGATAGTAGGAATTGTCTCGGTAGTCTCAGCGAAAAAAAAATCCGAACATAATTAGGATACTTAAAACTGTTATTACTTTTTTTTTCTAAAGTTTGCAGATGATGGAGTAATCTTTTTTTTTTTTTTCTATTTCAGTTACCACTACAAGCTTTCCAGTTACCACTACAAGCTCTCCAGTTACTACAAGTAAGTTTTAAATAGAAAACTAAGTTGTTAAAAAGTGTCAAAGGAGCACTTAAAGGGGAAGTAAATTAAAGATGACCACTGCAGAAAAATATATTTCAAACAAAAATCAATAACTTCTAAAAATTGCAGTAATGTGATAAGTATAGAGAGCAGAAAGACCTTCACCTTGGTGATTTTATTTTGATGCAAAACTTTCTGTTGAAAAACCTGGTAATACAGAACCAGTTTTAGAACATTTTTGTTGTAGAAAAATGGCAAGTTGCAATGCATTGCTCTAGTCCTTAACGGAATAGAATATAAAACTAATTTTCTCAGCATGTTCTCTGTAAGATCAGACATTGAATCTCTGCTTTTTTTCCTTGTAGCTCCATGTTTTGATTTAATCTGCAATTGGACTAAGTGGTTTGATGTTAGTGATCCTGAAGAAGATGGTGGTGACTATGAAACTTACGAGGCAATAAAACAACATGGAAACGAAATATGTGAAGCTCCTGAAAAAATTGAATGCAGGGCAAAAGATAATCCTCATATGAGCTTAGAGGAACTTGGCCAGAAAGTAGAGTGTGATGTTGCATTTGGACTAATCTGTAAAAATGAGGAGCAAGATGCAACTCTGTGGGAACTTTGCTATGATTATAAAATCAGGGTATACTGTTGTGAGCTGCAGGAAGTGCCTTGTGGGACTCCAAGTACACCGAGTCTAACACCAACAACTTCAACCACCACCAGCACAACAGTACCTACCACCGCTATTACCAGACAGACAACATCAATTGCCACCACGCCCATACCCACCCCAACCGTCACAGGACAACCCCCATCATCAGTCACTAGCCCAGAAACTTCAACCTCTACAGGTATTTAGCAGACCCCAGTACTCTCTGTTCTTGCTTTGCTATAGGAGAAATAGGAGACTTCTATTGCTGTGCCAGCTACTGAAGGCATGTCATCTCCATAGCAGATATTGAGCCGGCAGGAAGTAATACTTATGCTGGTTGGGAGCTCTATCCTTCTGCTGGAGATAAGATTCCCAGAAGGACCCATTGTGTGAGATTAGAGAAGGCCATGAATTAGAGTACCACCATTTTAGGCATTGTTTGGGTGGGGCTGGGCAGAATTTTTTCTCTTTCTCCTTCTGTGTTTCCTCTGTCCTAGATCCACTAGGATCTAGGAAGACCTGGGATCTAGGAAGGAAGAAAGCCATGGCAGATTTTCAGAAATAGTTTCACTCTGCAGATTGCCGCTTGTTGTGAACTGTGGTCTCGGCTGAAATACACAACTACTCTGTGAACTGCTTCATCATGCTGACATCACAACACAGGGAAATTACATGACAATCAGGCACAAACAAATTCCTGTGCATGCTTCTTTCCCAGACCACAGCTTCCCCTTTCAGTTCTCACTCCATGAGACAGTGAAGTGTTCTCAGGCAGAGACAGATAGCCTCACAGAAATTAACTCCTCCTAAAGTCAAACCCGTTGGTAGGCGCGTGCCTAGTCTCTTTGCTAGGAAAGTATTGAGATGACCCTATCTGTGAACTTATTTGGAATTAATCTGCTTTCTGGGGCCAGAAAGGAAGGCCTAGTAGAAGAGACACTTACTGTATTCAGTCAGGTACCACAATAGGTTAGTGGCAGCTGTCTTCCATTCAGTACATACTGTGTCCCGCTTATGCGTCTTCCACCTTTGTCTGTTTTCTCTGTCCCTGCTGTGTCTAAAAGTTCCACCTTCGACCACAACGAGCTCTCTTCACACAACAACCACGCCAACGCCATCGGGACCTCCCAGCAGCAGCACCGCGACGATGCCTCCGCCATCGGGACCTCCCAGCAGCAGCACCGCCACGATGCCTCCCACCGTCACCACCACCCAATTCACCCTGGGCACAACAACGACTGTTACTGGCACACCAACACCCACCACAACTACGACAACCACATCCACACCCACGCCAACAACCACCCCTTCTACAACAACTACCACCACCATACCCACAACTACAGGTATGTGAATGTGAACCAGAAAGGGCTAAACGACTGTTACTGGCACACCAACACCCACCACAACTACGACAACCACATCCACACCCACGCCAACAACCACCCCTTCTACAACAACTACCACAGCCACACCCACACCTCCAGGTATGTGAACGTCAACCAGAAAGGGCTGGTGCCCAGAGCCAGGCCTTGTGCTGGCTGTTTCAGCAGTGTGGAGGGTGCAAAGCTCGTGGGTAGGAGGTCTTGTGTCCCCTGACTCAGCAGGGCTCCAAAGAGCTTTTTGCTTTTACTTTAGCTGCTGTTGGACCTTGTCCTTCAGCTGGAGGGAATGTTCTCAGCAGGACCCATGGTGTGTGAAGGGAGAAGGGCTTGGTTTTGTGGCACTGTCATTTCAGGCACTGTCATTTCAGGCACTCTTTGGGCGCAGCTGTGCAGATTTTCTTGGCTTTCTTCTCTGGCGTTGCCTCTGTGGCATTGCTGCCACACACCTGCAGTTCCAGCTGCACGAAGGTTTTCCCCTGGCAGGTCTTGGGATCAGGTTTCAGACTAGGGGTTGCCCCTTTTCTATGGACCAAGGCTCTGGGCAGCTGTGTTCTCCCAGCATTCCCGTGAGCGTTGTTCTACAGCTGCCTGTTCTCTGGCGTTGCCTCTGTGGCATTGCTGCCACACACCTGCAGTTCCAGCTGCACGAAGGTTTTCCCCTGGCAGGTCTTGGGATCAGGTTTCAGACTAGGGGTTGCCCCTTTTCTATGGACCAAGGCTCTGGGCAGCTGTGTTCTCCCAGCATTCCCGTGAGCGTTGTTCTACAACTGCCTGTGCTCTGCTGGGTAAGCAGTTGATGTTTTGGCAGCTGTGTGTACCCTGTGCCCTCTTCCTTTGTGGTCACGAGCCTTCCCGATGTTTGGTTTGTCCCTGAGAGAGTGAGGTGGTGTGAGGGGCCCAGTAAAGTAAGAGAGTGGCAGGAGTACCTGCTTGGTCCTACTCCACCTCATGTGTTGCCCTCATGTGAGTGTTTTTTGCAGACACTCACATAAGAACCTGAGAAGACCAATATGGCAATGCACCTTAGCTGCGAGGGGACACACGCACATGGTTTGGGAGTGCCTGTGTCCTGATTTGGCCCTAGTGTGCTCTTTGTAGGGCCGAGAAGGGGAAGCCTGCCCACGCAAGTGAGCTTTGTTGTGGCCAGGGTTGGCTGGCTGGGGTCGCAGTTCCCAAGGAGACCCTTGAATGTGGTGGATGCCCAGAGGACCACCCGCAAGTGTGCTGGAACCCCAGCTTGTTGTCCCTATTCCAGCTGCTTCTAATTGTTGCTCTTGTTGTTGTCCCTCAGACTGTGACTGCATATGGACGGAGTGGATTGATGTGACTTACCCAAATGCTTCTGACAGAAACAGTGGTGACTACGAAACCATTGAGAATATTAAGGCGCAGTACCCCTCCTGCGGGAAAGTTGAGAATATTTCATGCAGAGCAGAGAAATTCCCTGACTGACTACGAAACCATTGAGAATATTAAGGCGATAAACGCCTCCTGGGTCTGCGAGAATGCTGAGAATGTTTCATGCAGAGCAGAGAAATTCCCTGACGTTCCCATTGAAGATTTAGGGCAGAAGGTGGAATGCAGTGTTTCCACAGGGCTCATCTGTAACAATAGCGATCAGACCATAGGAGGTCCAATACCGATGCCGGTCTGCCTCAATTACCAGATCAGAGTCTGCTGCATGCCAGACAGCTGTATTACCACCACGCACTCCACACCTTCACCCACACCAAGCACAGTGTCCACATCAACAACCACTCCCCCACCAACACCATCGGAGTCTCCCAGCAGCACCAGCACCAGCACCACCACCACGATGCCCCCCACCAGCACCACCACCAGCAGCACCCCGGGCACAACAACGACTGTTACTGGCACACCAACACCCACCCCAACTACTACAACCACATCCACACCCACGCCAACAACCACCCCTTCTACAACAACTACCACAGCCACACCCACACCTCCAGGTATGTGAACGTCAACCAGAAAGGGCTGGTGCCCAGAGCCAGGCCTTGTGCTGGCTGTTTCAGCAGTGTGGAGGGTGCAAAGCTCGTGGGTAGGAGGTCTTGTGTCCCCTGACTCAGCAGGGCTCCAAGGAGCTTTTTGCTTTTACTTTAGCTGCTGTTGGACCTTGTCCTTCAGCTGGAGGGAATGTTCTCAGCAGGACCCATGGTGTGTGAAGGGAGAAGGGCTTGGTTTTGTGGCACTGTCATTTCAGGCACTGTCATTTCAGGCACTGTTTGGGCGCAGCTGTGCAGATTTTCTTGGCTTTCTTCTCTGGCGTTGCCTCTGTGGCATTGCTGCCACACACCTGCAGTTCCAGCTG